TCCGGATTCAATCTGAATCACACCCGAGACCCCTGGGACCCCGTCCGAATATACCAACAAGTTTCAAACACATAATGGACCTACTGGAGGTCAAAAATCACATCAAACAACATCGATTCTATGGATCACAACCCAATTTAAGCCTATGAGACTATGAACTTTTGAATTCCAAAACTAATGCAGATTCATACCAAAACAACTCCGATTGACTTCAAACTTTGCACACAAGTATTAAATGACATGACATACCTATTCCAACTTTTGGAATCAAAATCCAACCCTAATATCAATAAAGTCAACTCCCGGTCAAACTTTCCAATCTTCCAAACCTTCAGCTTTCTAACTTTCGCCAATTCACGTCGAAATGACCTACGGACCTCCAAAACAACGTCTGGACACGCTCCTAAGTTCAAAATTACCATACAGAGCTATTGGAACCATCAAAACTCCATTCCGGAGTCATCTATATAAAAGTCAAACTACGGTTAACTCTTTCAACATAAGCCTCCGACATAGGGACTAAGTGGCCCATTTCACTCTGAAACTCACTCGAAATCAAAACCAAACATCCCGGAAAGTCACATAACCACAATATAACATAGAAGAGGCAACGAATAGGGGATCAGGGTTAAAATACTCAAAATGACCGGCCGGGTCGTTACAGTAGTCCACGTGTCATGCCCTGTCACCTTGATGGTAGTCCACGTGTCATGCCTTTTTTTCACCAATACAATTCCCGAGCCATCACTTAGAACGAGAAAGTCAATAAATGGCAATGACAATAGTAGTCAAGTGGAAAGCGCAAGATAAAAAATAATTCATTATCGCTAAAAGAGGAGATACACTCCTTAATTGAGTTTATATCTAACAAAAGCACCTCTCATGCAGCATCAGAACCAACCATTGAGAAGTGCATGGATATTTTAGAAAATATTTATGGTATTCTTGCAGGGAGTGATATTTTTAACTGTGCTATGAACTTGTTGACACAGAAGAGATACGACATGCATTTTTCAAATTGTCTACTGATGAAGCTAGTAAATCTTGGTTGAAGTATAACCACAGACGATCATTTGTGCCTAATAATCGTTCTAATCCAGTATGAGAAGTTTTTGTGATGACTTAGCCATATTACACTAGCATTAGATATTATTTAACTTGCTCTTTAAATTATATGCATGGAAGTTTATAATTTTTTTATATTTGGTGTCATGTTCATACATAATGGTGGTATGATTGTTTCTTGTTTAGACATTATATGTCTTTATTTTAATTGATGACTATCTACTTTAGAGTTAGCATTTGTCATTTTTAACTCACAACAGTATATTTTTTAATTATAATTGATGACTCTCTACTTTAGAGTTAGCATTTGTTATTTTTAATTCATAACATTATGTGTATCTATCTTATTTTCAGCTTAATGGCCCGCTGGAATATTGACAAGTTGATATTTAGTCATCCAAATGACTTGTTAAATGACGAAAATAAAGAAGAGCAAAGTCAAGAAGATAAGGAGTGGATGGCACTATGTCAAATCGCATGTAAGAGTATATTGATATATTATGAGAAATACATTTGCAAGGAACCATGTCGTACATCTAAATGCACTGGGAATATATTTATCCATGATATATTACATGGAAATGAGACTCGTTGTAATCAAATTTTCGACTGAGGAAGTCGGTGTTTCTTGATTTAAGCAAAGATCTAACTGATAAATATGGTCTTAAACCCACACGTGGGATGTCTATGTATGAGGAGTTAGGGATGTTCTTGTAATTTATGCACATGGTGCCGGGAATCGGTTAGTACAAGAGATTTTTCAGCACTCAAGAGAAGCATTCATAGACATTTTCATAGTGTTCTAAAGGCCATTGGTAAGCTTGCAAGAGATATAATTCAACCACATTCAAATTATAATAATGGTGCAGGAGATCACAAGCCATGTAACCAATGATATCTCCTTTTCTTTAATAAAGTAAGTTACCCATTTTTAATAATTATATTATTGCATTTTTACATTATAACTCATGCTGTAAAGTTACATTTAATTTATCCATGTATATATTTTTAGGACTGTATCGGAGCACTTGATGGCACGCATGTAAAAGCAAGATTACCTCAAGGCCAAGAGATACCATATATCGGGTGCAAAGGTTATCCTACTCAAAATATTCTCGTTGTTGTCGACTTTAATATGCGTTTTACATATGCATGGGCTGAGTGGGAAGGAACGGCTCATGATAATCGTATATTGGATGAGGCTCTTCGTAGACTAGAACCGAACTTTCCATATCCATCTAGGGACAAATATTATCTTGTTGACGCATGATATTCACACATGAAAGGATATATGACACCATACAAAGGGGATAATGTGAGATATCACCTCGCAAAATTTTGTCGAGGTGCGACACGGCAATTGCGAGCCCCAAATGGACATAAAGAAATGTTCAATTATTTGCATTCTTCTTGTAGAAACATTGTAAAGCGAACATTTGGGGTATAGAAAGCAAGATGGTCTATTTTGAAAGACATGTCTTTCTATCATATTGACACCCAAAGAGATATTATACTGGCTACAGTAGCGATTCACAATTATGTTAGAAAGAAATGTAAAGTGGACAATGCATTCCAAGAAGCTGAAAATGAGAGTTATGTGCCACTTGTTGATCCCGATGTTGGAAGATCTGCATCTCTCAGTATTGCAAATATAAAAATTGTAAAAAATGAAGGAGATAATAGTTTTTGGATGGCAATTCCTAATCTAATTGCCAAAGATATCTACAGTAGTTGAATGTTTTAGTTTAATTTGGTAGAAACAATACGCATTAAATATTTATTTTTTCTCTTCAAATACTTTGTCCTATTTAGATTCATTTGTTTATTTAGAAACTTTTGTCAATTTATTAATTATTATATAACTTATAATTATATGTTTATCATAAAATAAATTATATTTATCATAAAATTATCTTATCTAATCACATTTATATTTAAAATAAAATGACAAATAGAGTATTTTGTATTTTAGTTGATCTCGAATCTAAAATTTTAAAAAAATTACACCCTTATAAGTGTAAAAGTTCTATGATTATTTAAGTCATTTTAACATAAAAAAGAGCTTAGAACAACGACTTATATTATAACATAAAAAAGAGTTTAGTGGGATAACTTATTATCAATTTATTAAATAACACATCTATTTATTAAATTAATTTTAACATTTAAAAGTGCTTTTGCCACCTGGTGCTTTATCACCTGCTTCAAATAAACTAATCCAAACGGGCTCACCATAGCACTACCTGTGCGAATGCCCCACACCCCCACCGCCGATATACTGACCTGGTCGGAGGTCCCGCCGGCAAACAACGCTGCCTCCGTCCTTTGCTCTCTCTCCGGCGAATAAATCGCACACCTCCATCTCATCTGTTTGAATTGATTCACAAGCTAGGTTTTAAGTGGGACTCTTCTCCTAACCTCGTGAGTTAATCCATCAAGCTATTGAAGCTTTTGTTCAATGGGTGAACTGTTCAATAAAATCCGAAACAACAAAAAAGGAGAAACTTTTGATGGTGGTGGTAGTGGTGGCAGGCTGGCAGCGGTGGTTGCGGCAAAAAAATAAAAGATAATTAAAAGCTTTTGACTCCAGAATTGTTCATATCTCTGTTTTACACTAGCAGGAGAAGTGTCAGTTTACGATCAATTTTAATGAACAAAATGTGCCAGATGGAGCTCAAAGTAAATCTGATAGTTCAGGTGAATTTGAACTTTTTCCCTTCTCTTTATTTCCCATTACTACTCAATTTTATCTCAATATTACACCTATTTGTTCTACCAAATATCGTCAAATTGCGATCCTTGGCGTCATAGTTGTCATAGTATATAGTGTAAGGGTGAGATTGAAGGTAGGGAATAAAAAAAGAATTTATAAAAAAAAAGAAAAAGAATTGGACTCTCTGATAAACCAGCTAATTGATTAAGCCAGTGGTTGGTTGCTAACTAACATGGTTTCTTATTTATATCGTACAATCCTCAAATAATATAGATAAACACTCTTCCCCAGATGAAACCTCATTTCTATGAAGTCCAGTGTTTCTTTCTATATATTGAATTTTCTTCTGTTCACTCTAAAATGTTTTGGTTACAAGAGAAGACATATCTTAGCTAATATAATTTGCCAATCAGCTACTTGAGAATAACCAATATGGTTTATAATATATATCAACACCCATGTGGTATAATATTATATTTCCTTAATGAACTTGTCATCCCATTTTTTTAAGTCAAGTCATTCTTTCGTTATATTAAATTTAATTCTTGGTAACATAATTGAAGACACCATTTCAGTCACTAGAGGTATGTCATCGTCCTTTGTCTTTCACTTCTTTCTTTGATTTATTAATCTGCAGTCTCCATAAACCAGCTAATGTGAACGTGCTATATAATCAGAGGCGGGCCTAAAGTGTAACCTATGGGTTCACATGTAGTTTTTACCCGGATCATATATATGTATTAAGAAATCCACAAAAAATATCCATAAATATGTGGAAGTCAACTTGTTATTATTGTATATTAACTTGAGGTTGCTGTAGAAATCCATAAACTTCAAATTCTGGATCGGACTCAATATATAACCAACATGACTTATAATGTATTACGCCCATGTGGTATAATATTATATTCCCTAATTGAAGTTGTCATCGTACTTTAATCCAGTCAACTCTTTTGTTCTTTATATAGAATTCACTTGGTAGTTACTTGATTGCCTACACTTGCAGCCCTTTAGAGGTATGCCATTTTTCTTGTCTTCTCATATCCTTTTTCTAGGTTACTATCCTATATTTTTTGTGCTTTGTCCATTTGTTGATTGTTATTGATATTCGTGTTTCTTGTATTGTTTTCTCCAAGTATTTGTTACAGTATGTGTTTGCTTTTGCAGTTGCTTGCGACCTTTCAGCACTGCTGTTTTCCTTATCTGAAGGTTAGTTAGCCTTCTTGTCTTTCTATTACTTGAAACTTTTGTATATCATCCTTGTACAAGGGGGTTGATCTAGGTTTTAGGTCCTAGCACAAGAGCAAATCTAATATTAGGATAGATCTAAACTTTTGGAAAGTCCACCTAAGGTGGAGGTCGGACTAACTTATATCAAGGTGTTAAGGGGTCGTTTGGTAGGCTGTACTAAGTAAAATAATCCCTGTATAAAAATTTAATCTGTCCAATACAATGTTTGGTTGCTCAATTCAATTTATGAGGATTACTTATACCTCATAGGAGGGCTTAGCTAATACCAAGGAAACCAAGGGATTACTAATTCCTGCATTAACTATATCTGGATAAGATCCTAAAATTACTAAACCGCCCCTCAAACCCTTTTCCTAAATTTCTTTATATACAGAAAGAAGAATATTCAAGGGTATAATTGTAAAGAAGGTTTTGTACAGTTTTAAACCAAACACAAGCTTAGATTATACATTGCACAGCTAATTTTTAATACAATGAACCAACACTTGATAAAAAATTAATCCCAGCACTACAATCCCTGCATTACTAATCCCTGCATTACTTGTGTTCGTGCCAAACGACCCCTTAAGAGTTACAAGTAATGAGGAAAACGAAATTATAAATTTGCGACTCGATACTATTTGTGTCTTATAGAATTACTGATGCTAGTTCATCGATATGTTTTCTATTTGTAAATGTGTTCTGGTCCTCTTTTTGTATTTTGAAGAGTACTTGGAAATTATACATCAATTTTTGCAGAGCTTCTTGAATCAGAAACATGTCCTAGTCGACGTAACATAAACATTTACCTCACTAGGCACAAGTTCTAGAAGTAACGTTTCGACTTTTATACCTAGGACAAAAGAATTCATTGTGGAATTTTGATGCCTTCGAATTCTATATGGATATATAATTTGATCCGAAATTCAAGTATATATAGTTCTCTTTCCAGATTTTATTGATTGGAAAAGCCACTTGAAGACAACATAGGCTGCGATATGTGGCAAGTTTTTTTGGTGTTTCTTCCATTACATATACATACTAGTATTTGCTTGTTGATTTACTTTAGAAAGTTTTTCATCTTAAAGTACAAGAAAAACTGTATTGCTATTGACTAGGCACTCTAGACCACCTCTCCCCTTAATTTTATGTCCTAGGCAAGTGCAATACATTTCTACACCGTGCAACTTTAGTGAATGGGCCATAACTTTGTGTATTGATGACCAAACCATAGGAAAGTTGAATTAAAGGTTTAGAAGTCATGATCAAATTCTTTCTAGATTAAGAGTTAAACCTTTTTGAAGTTGAGTCATGTCTTATTCATACTTATTCTCTTGTCGATTGCTCTATTTTTCCAGCTTTCCTTTTGTTTCCAAAGCTCTCATTCATTCCTTAAAGCGTTAAAAACACATTCGCACATGATCATTTTGACATGATATGCTTCAATTTTCATCTAAGAGTGGCTCGAGGATCGGGGTGTTGCAACTGAATTTGCACTGCAACCGTACAGTAGAAAAGTACTTGAAATTTTGAGGGTGAATGTAAATACTATTAAATTAAGTGGGATGGGGATAAATAGTTTTCAAGAGATCTTCACAAATAAAAATTATCTTATGTGTATATAAATAACTTGGAAATATGTTCTAGGTGCTTCTAAAGATTGGTATTATTTACTTAATCTTTAATGGAATTTCAAGGATTAGAGAGCAATGATTATATGGAAAAAATCATTTGTGGTAACATTGATGATATGAATAAGAAATGGACGCAGTGTCTATGAAAAAGGTACCCAAGAACTTCCAATTTTACTGGCCCAGATCAGCGTGCTCTTATCTCTGTTTTTGCCTCCCTTTTTGCAACTTTACTGATCATGTTATTTATAGCACCATTGACTTCGTTCAACTTGCAGCTTTGAGGTCATAATTGGAATACGATAGATATGGCTTATGCTAGTGTTGCTTCTCTTATGAGAAAAATAGAACTGCTCCTGACATTCAACTCACCAGGGCGATCTCTAATCCGTGACAACATAGCAGAACTTATTGCTCTTCATGGAAAGATTAGTTCCTTGAGAGTATTTCTCAAGAATTTCGAGAAAAGCAATGATTCTGGGGAAATGACAGATTTGGAAGCACAGATAAAAGAAGTTGCAGAAGCTGTTGAACACACAATTCAGATGACACTGACTGAAGCTGTAGTGGCAAATGATGAAATGCAGAAAGAAAAGGCACATGAGAGGTTTTGTGATAGCCTAAAGCAAGTAGCAGAGGACATTGATCGTGTCCAGAAAGAAACAAAAAAGATTCAAGATAAAGGCAAACAAGCATCAAAGGAATCTTTGGTTCTAGATAGTTCAACAAAAGATATCCCTAATTTGAAGAACAATATGGTGGGACGTGATGATGAAAGGAAACGGTTGTTAGAAAATCTGACTAGAGGCTTCTCTGGTGAACCAAAAGTCATTCCAATTGTCGGGATGGGAGGTATTGGTAAAACAACTTTAGCTAAAGAAGTTTTCAGTGATGCATCCATTCGATCTCATTTTGATGTTCGTGCCTGGGCTACTATATCTAGCCAATACAATGTAAAAGATATCTATGTAAGCCTTCTGCTTTTTACAAAAGAAACAAAAGATGAGAGAGTTCACATGAAAGATGAGGCGGAGCTAGCAGACATGCTACAGAAAAGTTTAAAGGGTAAGAGATATTTAATTGTCATGGATGACATGTGGAACAGTAAAGCATGGGATGATGTGAGACAATGTTTTCCAAGTGAAGATAAAGGCAGTCGAATATTGTTGACTACTCGTAACACTGAAGTAGCTTGTTATGCTGGTACAGGAAATCTTTCTTTGCAGATGGATTTTATGAATCCAGATGAGAGTTGGAAACTTTTTAAATGTACGGGCTTTGCAGATGTATCATTACCACATGAGTTCGAGACTATTGGGAAGCATATCGTAGACAAATGTCAAGGGCTGCCACTATCTATTATCGTGGTTGCTGGGCTTCTGTCCAAATCTAAGAGGACACTAGAAGATTGGAAAATTGTTGCTAGAGATGTAAGGTCATTTGTCACAGATGATCCTGATAAACAATGTTTACATGTGCTTGGGTTGAGTTACAATCACTTGACCAGTGATTTAAAAGCATGTCTTCTGTATTTTGGAATTTTTCCAGAAGACAGTGAGATTCCAGTGAAGAAACTAGTGAGTTTATGGATGGCTGAAGGGTTCCTGAAGTTGGAAAATGACTTACAAGGAGAGGCTGAGAAGTGTTTACAAGATCTCATCGACAGATGTCTAGTTCTTGTATGCAAGAAAAGTTTGGATGAAACAAAAATTAGATCATGTAAGGTTCATGATCTAGTGTATGAGTTTTGCTTGAGAGAAGTTCAAAACGAAATATTTTTTTCCTTGAGACAGCTGGTACCTGGTAATCCGGACTATATTTACTCTGATCATTATAGGATCCTTTTTGTCCCTCGATTGATAACACAGCAGACAGATGGTGACAATGAAAATTCGTGCAATCTAATTCGTTCTATTTTCTCTTTGTATAGTACTTATTCAACTTTTATTCTTGAACCAGATATTGTTCATTGCAATTTTCTCAAAATTTTGGACTTGAGTCCCATAACTCTTGATGTTTTCCCTCCACTGATACTGTGCCTCAGTTTTTTGAGGTACCTAGTACTGTCCACCCATGGTGGGAGGTTTGACATACCTCCAGAAATTTGCAGGTTATGGAGTCTAAGAACATTCATTGTTGAAGGGTATCGTCCGACGTACATACACTTTCCTGAACAAATTTGGGAACTGTGGCAATTAAGGCATCTCGGAGTGTATCAGTTTGATTTGCTAAATCCTCCAAGTATATCTGTTGACGAAGAGAGGTGCTCGGAATTTTCAAACATACACACTGTTTCCGGCTTGTGTGTAAGTAGTTGCACAAAGGAGGTTATTTCAGGGATTCAGAATGTTAAAAAATTAGGAATCTATGCAGATGAATACGAGTTTAAAACATTTCATGGATCTAGACTTTTTGACAATCTTGCGAATCTACATCAACTTGAAACATTGAGTCTTAAAGTTTCAGTACCGCTGCAGACGAAGATTAATAAAGTGCCAATGACCATTCCTAGTGCAAAAGCTTTTCCAACGACGCTCAAGAAGTTGAAGTTGGACAATACTTGTCTAAGGTGGGAGGACATGGATATCATAGGTGAGTTGCCTGACCTTGAGGTGCTGAAGCTAATGTTAAATGCTTGTTGTGGCCAAGAGTGGCATCCAATTGCAGGGGGTTTTACTAGGTTGAAGCTTTTGCTAATTAAGCATAATTATCATCTCAAGTACTGGAAAGCCACAAATGACAATTTTCCTGTCCTTGAGCGCCTCGTGATTACATATTGCACTGAGTTGGAAGAGATGCCCATTGAGTTTGCAGATATGGACTCACTACAACTAATTGAGTTAAGTTACTGTACAGCCCAACTTGAGGCTTCTGCTGCACGTATTCAACAAGAACAAGAAGACCTCGGAAACAAACCTGTGGATGTTCGTATCTCAGATACATACAATCCATGTAAGTATATCTTTATCAAGGTTACACTCATTTCTCATTTCCACAAGGTTACGTTACGTTATACAGTTGTACTTGTTCAATTGCAGTGCTTTTGCTTGATTTTCTTCAAGTCGTAGTTGTAAAAAATAAGTATTTTCTGAATGCTCTTATTCTGAATGAACAGGAAAAGTGGACTTTTCGTTTTTATTGCGTGAATATAAATTTTGCTGAATATTTAATTAAAACAATTGTCAAATCGTAGTTGTCAAAAATAGGTATTTTCTTCTAATATGACCAAATAACTATTTTGATTACTGAAATTAATTTAATAAATATGATAATTAAAAATAAAATGGTCTTGAATGCCCTTGTTTTGAGGCTTCCATGCATAGGGAATTACTATAATGTTTGAATTATCGAATCCTACAAAAAACTTGAAATGGATTTGGAAACTTAGAACTCCCGACAAGATTAGGTTTTTCATCTGGCAATGTTGCCAAGATAGGCTTCATTCTATGGACTATCTTAATAGTGTTTGGCATGAATATTTATCCTACTTGCACTGTTTGCAAAAGAGAAAGAGAGACTGTCCCACTGGTTAGATATCCTCAAAAGCCAACAACCAAATTTTAAAAAAAGTTATGGCTTAACAGAAATGCTAATAACATTAACAATAGTACAATACTGATTATCCTCTTTCAAGGTAATTGGTTATCACTTGTTGCATTGATTATATTACCCTCTCCCAGAACACTACTGAAAATATTAGAACTATTCTTATTAAATGACATCCTCCTCTTGCGGGCTACTACAAACTTAACATAGATGGTGCTTTCATTTGCGATAGCAATCAGGGAGGGATAGGAGGTGTCTCCGAAATTGTAAGGAGAACGGGTACAAACATTCTTATTCACTCGGTGTGTACAAACATATTTATGCTATAACTCATACTCATGTTTGATGTTATTGCTTATTGCTGCCTTGTTTCGGTTTTCTGTTTGCATTACTTAGTGTTAGTTTTGTTTTTTCGCTTTGATTGTCATATTGGTTTGCTTGTTATTGCCCTTCTTTTTTTCCTCCCTGAGCCTAGGGTCTGCCATAAACAACCTCTTAGAAAAGGCAAGGGCAAGGGCAAGGTATGCCTACACTCTACCTTCCCCAGACCCCACTTGTGGGACTATACTGGGTTTGTTGTTGTTGTTGTTAACTCATACTCATGTTGAGCTCTTTGCTTTAAGACATGGACTGGAGATTGCTTACGCTCGCAATCTACAACCTTTGGGGATTGAAACAGACTCCATTGGAATTATGCAATTATTACAAAACAATTCACTAATATAAACCAATTGTCCATGGCTGCAGGTTGGTAATGTAGAAGATAGGGCACTCAATGCTCCGATATAATTACGGGGAGGGAACAAGTTTGCACATTTTGGCTAAAGAAAGGATCTAAAGCAGCAATATCTCTTTTGAAAAACTTATTCGGATAGTAATTGTAATAATCTAGCTTGCTTTGGGAACCTTTGTGTCATATCTAACAGTGTTATCAAAGGCGAAAAGCGCAAAAAAGCTCTAAGGTCCGTTGGGGCTTTAAGCGCAAAGCGCGAATAAAGCGTGGGCTTTAATGAAAAAAGGCGCAATGGGAAAAAAAGTAAAAATATGCATGTAGTCCAAGATTAATCATTACAAGCATGAATAGCAAATATATGGACAAAGAAATTGAAAAAAAGATACGTTAAAAGTGAAATATTAATTGTTTAAGGTCACCTTTTCAGGATTACACTCATTGGCAAGGAAAAGTATGCTTTAGAGCTTTGACGCGACACTATAGTGCCCACAAAGCGAGGCGAAACGCTCAATGTGTTTTGAGCCTCGCTTCAAGGCTTAAGCGCGCCTTTGACAACGCTGATATCTGACACCAGTAGTATTAGCACTAGTTCTATAGTAATCAGAAACAGTCTCTCAGCCCTTCCAGGGTAGGGATAACGCTGCGCACATACTACCCTTGCCAGACCCCACTTTAGAATTATATTGGATTGTTATTGTTGTTGTTGTCTATAGTGAGTGGTTTATTTCTATTATTATATTGTAACTACCTTTGTGATAGAAAAATAGTTTTTGCCTGTATAAAGAAAAGGTCCCAAGATATTTTATTTCTGTAATAGTGTGACCTACTCTAATGATGATGCTGATGATGGTGATGATTCTGACGCATAATATAATGAAGATGGACGACGACCATACCTGAAGAAAATATTCAGATTTGTCATGGATATTTAGCTAGCGTTTGAACATAGATTTGGTTGAAAAGTGAAAAGAGTTTTTGAAGTTGTCTTGAAAAATAATTTTTGGAAGTTGAGGTTGTGTCCTTCCTGACCCGAGGGTCTATCGGAAACATCTTTACCCTACCTTATTAGGGGATAAGGCATGAGTACACACTAACCTTTCTATACCCCACTTGTGGGATACTATTGAGTTGTTGTTGGAAGTTGAGGTTGTGTCTGGAAACACAGAAAATTCTAACATAATATGCTGAATTATGCAACTTCTGCGTACAAACTTCCAGCATATTATGTTGAAACTCTAATACATTATGATATTCCAGCACATTGTGCTGCTGGAATCTCATATGTAAAAGATTTGAACTCTAACATATAATTTTCTCGGATTTTTAAGGTTTTCGTCCATCTCTTATGAAAAAATGGCTAATTTTTAATTATTTAAACTGTAGCTTCAATTAACAACTGCAATTATTTTTTATTTTTTCCCAGCATAAAAAGATCTTTCTTATTTCAATTCTATGTACAATAAAATTGTTTTGTGACTTACGATATTCAGGCAAATAAAGTTAATTTTCTTTTTTGTAAGAAAAGAAGTAGATTACGGAATATTAATTAGGGCTACTTTCATTAACAGCACGCTATTAAAAATATAATACAAAAGAGTAGCATTAATTCATGATTAACAAATATGGCAGTAAAATATTTATACATATAGCAGATTTAATTCAATTCAAATCAGCAAGAATCAAACTGTTTAGAAAGGCAGCCCTAGAATTGTTTCTCTCCATTCCATAACATGTTTTATGTTTTCGTTAGAAACCAATCCATTCCATAACAGATTTTTTACTTCCCATACATGGACCTTTTTATATAATGTAATGTAGCAAATTATACATCTTTATATTCTGATGAAATAAAATACATATATTATATGAAAAATTATAAGTTATGTTTGTGGCATATATACATTATAAATCATATATTTTTTTAGGAAAATATATATATATGCATATGTTGTTTATATACGTCTTTATTTTTAAATATATATCATCGATCCATTCCATAGCAATTTTTTTCCTTTTTATACATGGACCTTTTTATTCAACTTAATCCTAGCAAAATTATATATCTGTATATTCCAATGAAATAAAATACATATATTTTGTGAAAACAATATAATGTATGTTTGTGGTATATTATAAATCATGTGTTTTTTAAAGGAAAAATCATGCACATATGCATATGTAATTTATACACTTATTTATATTTAAATAGATATTATTAATATTCCATTTATATTTTTCAGTAATATAACATGTATATTTGTATAAATTATCCGTATATATATATAGTATATGTGACATATTTATTTTCTTCATTAGTGGCATGTTAATATTTTAGATTAAATTTTATGTAAGGTATATGCTAGCAATATAATTTGAATAATATCAATATAATAATGTATTATGATGTATATATATATATATGACATATTGATGGAATATTTTACATTGTAAATTATCACAATATAATATATTTGAAATATATTAAAGGCATATTTTGAGTTAAAATAAAATTGTACAGAAAAAAGTTTAAAACTCAAAAAAGAAAAAAATATTGAAATTCTCATTGTGCGGGATTTATTTTTGAGATATTCTTCTTTTAAAATCTTTGATATATTTGGGTAACTATTATTTATGAAAGAGAAAAAAGAAAGGAAAAAGGTCAAAATTGCCCCTATACTATTGTCAATTGGTTGCTTGTGCCACCCGTTATACTTTTCGGCCATTCTCGTCCCTACCGTTAATGAACTTTGAATAAATACCCCTAACCCTAACGTCTATACACTATGGCAGCTGACCACATGAATTTTATCCAAGTCAGCTGCCATGTCAGCTTCCACATCAGCGGGCCCGCCAATTTAAAACCCCACAATACCCATTTACTATCCGTCTCTTACCAACAATTAGGGCTCAGATGACCCCAATCCTTTTCCTTCATCTTCAGTGTCTCAAAGAAGTTGTTCTTCCCAAATTAGGTGTCGTTGTGGCATCTTTGCAAATCACTTCACTTCAACGACTCCATTAAACCCTGGAAGGCGATTTTTTAAATGTCTGAAGACTAAGGTTAGTGATTGTGTAACAAAAGATCTAAATTAGTAACTGTTTGCTCTAAATTATAGTCTAATAATAACGATCTTAGTTTCTTCTCTGATTTTTTATTTTCGACAAAATCGTTCTTGTGGTTATTTTGAATGGGAAGATGAAATCTCGTTTTCCAATGATTTAGTTACAACTAAAGATGTAACATCATCTTGGGAAGCTATTAAAAATGATAGGGATAAATTGAAAGAAGAATTAATTGCCCTGAAGGCTCTACACAAAGCTGAAGCTGCAAAAGTAACGAAATTGGAAGAGAAGGTTTTGAAGACGAGGATGATGCTTATGATCTCATGGGAACTTTTTGTTGGATTTGTTGCGGCGTCGATGATGAAGTGAAAGTTGATGAATCTTGTTGATGATGCTAATGAATATGTTTTGTTGTCAATTTTATTGTCGTTTGGAATTGGATGAGAAGGTGTTATGTATGTTGTTTTGAACCTTTTATATTAGACCTTGTAATCTTAGTTAATGTAATTCGAATATATTAGTTATCAAGAATTAGTTAATGTAATTCCAAGTTATGAGCTTGTAACCGTTTACATTAGAACTTATATTAGTTAATGTAATCTTAGAAGTTGTCAGTTCTTTTGTGATGAATTTTTTGTATTATTAGTTGATGCTATGGGTTGATGAACATAGCATTTATGTCAAAAAGTATGGACAATTTCACAACTCCATTCCCAACCTAAAATCTGGACAGTTTCACAGAGGCCTTTTTGTGCCAAAATCTGGACAGTTTCACAACATTTTGGTCCAAAATCTGGACATCTTCACTACACCAGTTATGTCAAAATCTCGACACTTTTACAACACTATTTTGGTCCAAATTCTGGACAGTTTCACAAAACAACTTGTTAACAAAATCTGGACAGCATCTATAACTCATAAATGAACACTTAAACAATTCATAAACACTAATTTCATTCATCACAAGGGGATGTCACATTATCACCCCAAAAACCTACATAAACAAGTGACAACATGACATCAAGTTTCCCAACCTAAACATTCAAACTACATTAAACCACAAACAAGGGGATGTCACATTATCACCCCCAAAAACTTTCACAATTAGGTGATAACATGACATCCGAGTGAACATGTCACTAACTAAGCAGCCGCACAAGTTTAACAAGTTTACTTGGCTAATAGTAATTACATCACAACCAAAAATATACAACCATAATAGAGTTTAGTTGATTTACAATCCAGAACACCAGAACAACTCGTCTTTAAGTCTGTTTCTTCCCATTACCCTTCTTTGCTTTCAACTTGGCCAATCTTTGCTTGTTAAGCTGGTTACCAGTAATAGCATTTTTCCCTTCCATTGCAGCTTCTTTGGTGAGAATGGTAGGTTTGATGGCTCACTCACACCACTGGCATCACCAACAAATCTGATTTCTCTTGTTCCAATTGATGTACTTTGTAGTTGCCTCAATTGTAGCCTAGTCTTTGCCTCAGAGATACTTCTTGGCCTTATAGCTATTTCAGGCTCAAGCTCAAGGTCAAAGTCTGGGTAGTCAAAGTCCGGAAAAGCATTGCAGCTTGGTTCTTTCCTCTACACTGAAGGGGTTGGCATGAACACCATGTTGCTAGATTGACTTGTTTGAGTAGGCTGACTTGGCTGAGGGGCTGACAAAGGAATTTCCTCATCATTGGCTTCTTGTGGCACTGGTGCAGCAGAGGGAGATCTGGGCTGTTCATCATCAACTTCATCAAGTAAAGTTCTCTTCCTCTTTGTCTGCTTCCCTTCTTCTTTCCTCCAATGGACTGCTTTCCTTTAGAATGTTGTTAGTAAGACAACAAGTTTTGGTTAGTTGTTGAAACTGAAAGAATGATAGAAAAAGTTATGGTTTTGATTACTGCCGCACCTCCTTTTTACACACTCGAAGGGATATAAAGGGAATTTTTCCAATTTAAGTGACATTATTCGAAATGGGATTATTTATTTATTTTTATTCAGTCGCTACTTGGGATAGTTTATTTGGTATCCCAAGTCACCGGTTTATTTTAAATCCCAAATCGAGGAAAATTTTGACTTTCCTTTTGAAGTCTGCGAACCAGAAATTCTGAATAAGGAATTCTGTTAACCCGAGGGAAGGTGTTA